GAGCTGAGGGAGGATCAGAGCAAACTGCAAGCTGCTAACAGCTGGAGTGAGTGGCGCGACTCCGGTCGGGACTAAGCTGAAAGCAATAGAGAGAGAACTGGCTGGTGTGTTACTGTGCCAGAGCCAACGAGAAACTGGACTTGAGCTCATTCTGGGCCAGAAGGTGACACAGCTGGACACCGCTTTCACGCTCAAGACTCGGGGACAGAGACCGCCAGGCCTTCCTGTCGTCGCGGCGCTGAAAAAAGCAGGGGGGGCGGCCGGCGGACTGACCGCTGCTTGCGGCTCCTCTGCACCCGCGGGGGGTCCTGGGAGGGGTCCCGGAAGATGTCTTGGAAGATGGGGGCGTACTTCTTGAAGATGACGGCGGAGACGGTGAAGTTCCTCTCCAGCTTCCTGGTGTGCTCGCGGAAGTGCGGGGGCAGGCTGGCCATGTCCTCCCACTTCTTCATCTTGCTGAAAAACTCAATCAGGCTGCCAGGCCAGGGGAGCCGGGGTTAGGGACGCGGGCGTTTAGCCTCTAGTCAGCTTGGTCACTGCAAGCCTGCAGTCATATTCCTTTGTCTGGCTGATGCCTTTGTCCAAAGTGACTTACGTGTGTACCCAACTGTCCAGCTATACTGCTGGTATTTCATGAACAATGTTAATACCAGTCCCAGTGAATACAAGCATGGGATCGCTGTAAGCATAAATAAAGAATATTGAGAGGAGAGCACCTCCTTAGTTATTTTTAGTGCTTTTTTAAATGAAGAGCTCAACCTGCTGACAGTCCCTCTGTTCACTCTCCTGACTGAAAGATTCCAGCCTCCTGCCGGACTGTAGCAAATGAAAGAACTGGACACATTTGGCATTACCATACGTTGAGTCCAGCCTTATCTATCTTCCCCTTACAGTGTCAATGAGGTATCTCGCTCAAGGGTACAACAGTACTGGCTCACAGGGGTTTGAAGCATCCAGGAGCCCAATCACCACCCTAAACTGCAGCTCTTCTCAGCCTCGTGCACATCTCACCCTGTGAAGCGTGTTCCGAAACTTCTGGCCGACATTTTCCAATTCAACCGCGACCTTCTAAAGATAAAGTGGTTCCTAAAAACGCATGGAAGGATGTTGCCACATAGAGGGCCTTGTGTAAACTCAATGGGTAACCCCTTTCATCCCAGCAAGTCAACCAGACAAATGAAAAATACACAACTCCCCACATGAGGTTCTTCCATTAAGATAGCTGCAGTGGTATCAGCACCCTGAGGTCGTGTTTTCTCCGGATGAGAAGGAAGAATGGCTCTTCACCCTTCTTGGCTTTGCCTCTCCACCCTCTGGTGTACCTACCTCTGCTCAGAGCAGCGCAGGATCCTGGTCAGCGAGACGTAGTTCCCCTCCGCCGTGCCCTTGCCCACAGTGGGGACGGCCGTCCTGCAGGCCACGTACAGAGAGCAGGCCAGCCAGTGGAGCTCGCTGCCCTGCGGGGGAGAGGAGACGGGGGGAGGGTGGCAGGTCTGCAACACTGGCTCTGGCTCTTGGGCTTGCAAGTCCAGCACAGAGAGAGCGCGTGTTTCATCTCCCACGCTTCCTGTTGTTTTTAAACACAACTCCCTTCTGGGGGGCTGATAACACACAATATCTGCAGGGGACCTGCAGGGTTCCTGTGGGTTTTCAATACCTGGAATATGGACTTCCTTGCTTTGCGTGGTAGAGTGCCTGTGGCCCTTTGCTGTACTTTCCTCAGGGTGACCTCAGTACAACGGAGGAGGTAAGACGCACACTAATGCCTCCAAAACGTCTCACCCTGAGCCAAAGATTTATGTTCTTTTCCTCTCGCAAAGGGCACTGCGCCTTCCTGGCAGGGCTCTGTAGTGTGAAATCTGAAAAGAGGCTCCTTTTTCAGTGTAGCTGCCGTATCCCTGCTTTCAAATCAAATCAAATCAAATCAAAGTTTATTTATCAAATGCACAACAATACATTGTGCAGCAGTGGTTGCTGGCAACGAAATGTCTTTTCCGCGAGCTCACCAAAATCACAAGAATCTCAGAAATCACAAAAATCACAAAAACACCAAAATCACAAAATTGAGGTTATGAAAATAAGGTTTCATAATGATAGATGTCACCTTATTTTCATTACCTCAATTTTGTGATTTCTGTGTTTTTGTGATTTCTGTGATTCTTGTGATTTTTGTGATTTTCCAGTGCGTCTGTAGGGATTTCGGTGTGCCTTGAGTGGCCAGCTTGCTGAGACACGGCATCGTATTTGGTGGATATATTTCTACTGGATTATACAATATGACCACAGTGTCCAGTCCAGTCAGGGCTGGGAGGAGTGATGCAGAGCTCAGATCAGAAGGAGATCAATTCTGAAGCCCTGCTCACTGAACTCGAGGACCAGCAGCTTGGACTTCTTGAATATTTGGAAAGCAACACTTTAACACTTTTTTATATATTATATTATTGTAATCTAGTTTTGATTATGTAAATAGCTTCTTTTTCATTTGAAGAAAAATATTTCAATTTTTAAATGGAAATAAGGGCCATACCAAGACATTTCGTTAAGTTACAGCAATTATGATACAACCAAATAACTGAAAATCATCATCATGATCATCATCAATAATAATAATAATAATAATAAATTCTTGAGATGTGGCTAGACGTTTTTATCATCGGAGATCGTTCCGTTGGCGTATGTCTACGAATACAATAATTGTTTTAATTCATTTATTACCGTTCACACTCGGAAAATAACAAAGCAATAATCTAAAAAAGGTTATATATTATTAATTAAAAATGTTCGCTCCCAGCAAACACCTTTTACTCGACTAAAGCCGCCCAGAAAACGACATATACGGGTTGATTTTAGTAAAGGTTCAAGATTGTATACCATTTCTATTACGATGTCGGTCCTGGGCTGAAAATACCAATTCGCCACACAGAAACGATAACGATAGGTTGCCAAGCCGATGGCCCTCCCCTCCGCGTCGCATCGTTAACACTCACAATAATGTAAGAGAGAATAATGTCATTACATTGTACGAGGATATTTGCCCCTTTTTTTCTTTTAAAAAAGCTACTTGGGCTGCATTGCAATAGGAAATAATATTGATTGGTCAGTGCGAGTTTGTGCTTAGGGACTTTTTGGATCACTACCATTTTACAGTCTCTAAACCGGTGCGATTGTATTGCACTTGGCTCGGCTGTCTTACCTCTAAGGTGTAGTTTTTGTTGATTTTTTCGTAATTCCTCCAGGCTTCATCGCCGGCCGCCTCGTCCATATTCAGCGCCCTGCAGAGATCCTCAAACCTCTGTCTCGTCGCCTGAGAAGCCTCTTCCTCTTCGTTCATATTTGTTTTATTGCACTCTTCGCTCAACTCGAGATTAAACAGACACCAGCCCAAAGGAAAACCACTTCAAGGCTACGAGGGCATGACAAGAAACTGCATTAGCAGTTTCGAAAAACACTTTACTAAAATGCATGCATAAATTAAAAGGCAAACCTGTATCGGTGTTTTGTACAGTGCAATTATGTAGCCCTGTACAGTGTAGCCATTTAAATGCCTTTTGAGTGACAGCTGCTACTGCCGTACGCTGGATCCGTACAGATCCCCTCCACAGCGCACTGCTGCGCAGAGTTTCTGGCGTAACAGCTTTGGTAAATTAGCGGTAGCCTGCGACCAAAGCCCGCCCCCAAAACTGCGTCCCACTTTTGGAATGGATAACGCGGAAGTCACTCAGAGCCCAAACATAAACTTCCTGCAGCCGCGGAGCGGAAAATGAAGCGTTTATTTTTTTTAAAACGAGCTCTGCACTGTTTCCTTTTCGAGAAAGAGAGCGCTGCATTTATGCTTTAGTTCGCTCTGTTGCAAAGCCTGTTAAAACTCATAGAATGAAGTGCTGAACCAGTTTGTGACTGGAAACATAAGAGTCCACTCTGCACACGAATCTCGCTGCAGAAGGTTTGCAGGACTCGTGATTAAAATTTCTGACGTTTTATGTGCAGCAAAATTGTCCTTTCCGCTGAGAGTATTACAAGGAAGTCGGGTTTAGACTGTATTAAACAAACACCCAAAGAACCACAAGGATTAAAGCATAGTCCAGGCTGTAGGCAGCTCTACTGTCTGAACCACAGGGCCTGGGAGGTGGGACTAGAGTCCTCTGGACCTGGGTCTGTGCAGCACTACTAACACAAGACACAATGCAAGGCTCTCCAAAACACAAGAGTTAGCCAGGCTTGAGCAGAGTGCAGTCAACCCTTTGTGTATTATCATAATTCCTTATACTCATATTCCATCACATTACTGGGGCACTAGAACCCACAAACACAGCGGGGTGATCTACTGATCCCTCTAACACCTCTTCCAGCAGCAACCTTAGCTTTCCCAGGTCTAATCCTCTGTGTTTTGCTCTTCTGATGCCTCCTGAAGGGCTAACTGTCGTCATCAGCCCTTTACCCAGAGGTGTCTAGTGCCAGTTCTGGTAGTCTTCAAGGTCCGTTTAAAGCCACAGCACCCGAAGAGCTGGCCCGGCTCATTAAGCATGGAGTTGAAATAAAATCATGCAGATGCAGGGCCCTTCCTGTACAAGGGCTACCAGTTGCACAGAGGAGTCCATCACTGGTCCGCTAAGGGTCTCGTCGCACAGGGGGACCGGCTCTGGGTGGTGGGAGGTCTGTCTGCTGCTCAAGAGAGAGATGAAAAGCTTTTCTGACCCTTATGCGATTTGTCTTTTTATTTTGAACCTTATAGGACATTCTCTTACATCCTGGAATGCATCTGAGTGTTCTTGGGACTTATTTCATTGCAGCATCATCTTTTTTATAAAAGGATGAGTAAAATTATAAGACCTGAATTAGGTCTTAGTAGTGCGTTGTACAATTTTAACAAACGTTCAGCATTTTTATTATTTAACCGAACACAGTGTGCCTGTCTTTTGATAAACTCGCCTCATATTTTTGCGATGTCAATGACATTACCCCGCAAAAGCACGGAAAAACAAAAGTACAAAATTCACTTGATTTGATCTTAAAATAGTTTTTACTTTGGAAACATCAGTTAATATAACGGACACAGACAGACTTCGTGGATAGTCAAAGAATATGTTTAATAAAAATAATTAAACTTCCATTTCCTCTATAGAACTTCATAGAAAGTAATTCAATAAATTACAAATGACTTTAAGACGCTTTTTTTTCCTCCACTACAGAAAGCATTATTTGACTACACAGACCACAACTTGCAAATATTGCAACTGTCCAAAAGAAAACAACTTAAAATGACTTTCAAGGTTTTATCAAGCTGAAAACAAAAGATACAAATACAAGGCAAGGATAGCTATTTTCTTCTTCAGCAACTACTTTACATAAATGATCTCCTTTGTCCCCTTTCATGTCTTAGTGTACATACTTTTTGCAACACCTGCATACAGTCTATTTGCATATTGGTTGGCTGAAATTTAGGGTACACGTAGATGACCTTTTCTGAGGCAGGGGGTGTCCATTAACACAACCTGGTCCCAGCAAGTTCATATCCCCATAAATTGCAGCAGCGTAATAGGACAGGGCAACGAAGTCCAAGACATAATTAAAATGAGACTAAACTGCTTAACTAGAAAATGTGTCAAATACCTGAAGACAAAAACACAGTGGAGGTTGAGTGCAAGTGGAGATGTTTGGTGGAGGACTCTAATCTTTATTCTAGATGGAAATAACATTTGAATGCTTGAACCTTTTTGTTCAAACCCAGAATGCAAGTGACCGACTCTACAGTCCAGTGCTGGGTGCTTATGGGTACAAATGAAAGTTGCTGACCAAATTCTCACCAAAATACTGAAAATGCACCCTGGACACCAGTGTTAGGACTAGGTAGGTCGTAAAGGGGGGGAGGAGATGAAAAATATGGCAAGCCACTGACTGCACTGAATGCAAACAGATTTACTGGCACCCTAATGATTTTAACGAGCTCAGATTGAACGGTAACCTTCCTTTGCACTCGTTCACTAGAGTGAACAGCAAGACCTGTAGTTAGGAAATGTGTTTTTTTAGCTGACAACTGTCACCAGAGTGTCATGTTCAATTAGCAGGAGAAACGATAATTGTGTAGAAAAAAATCAGTATTCAGCTGCTGTTCCAGCAGTATTCTGTATTCCTTATTTTAACTATATATAAGTAGGTTAATCTCTTTTAGTCTATGCCAAAACATGACCAGAATAGACTAGTAATACTGTCATTGGAGAAAGCTTCCCAAACTAGGCTCAGGGAAAACTTTACTAAACATTCTCCCCACAATTAAAATGTTCAGTAATCAGTTGATCTAAGTTAATCAGTTGGCAACTCCTTCATTAAGGTAACTGAGCAACTGTAATGCCTAAACTGGCAATACTTGCAGTAATACCAAAAGTATGTATTTTGTGGTTGAATTAAAAATTAAAATGGCAGAGGGTTATCCACATTTAGATGAGACTCAAGTCAGGACCCCTTAGCCATAAAACTTCAAGAAATATTGTTGTAGGTGACCTATTCTACTTAATTACAACTGCAATAGACTGCACCTAAAAATTCAAGGTGGTCATAAACTGGGATATTCCATCAATGGCAACAGCTTGAAACTGTCCCCCAGCAATGAGATTTTGGGGATCCCCTACTGTAGAGCATACTGTAATGAGAGCTGTGGATGAAAATTACAATGCAACTCCTTCAAGCAGAGTCTTCTCCACCATTTGTCCTCTAACAAGAGCACAGATTCTGTGTACAACCTGTTTTAGAGGAGCGCTTGTTAATAGCTCATACAAATGGATTTCACAGGTCTGAAAAGCGTCACTCCATCATGGCCCTCCTACAGGGGTCAGTACATATACAGTGTCCCACCATATTTATTCAAATGCCCCCATCTCTAGTTTAGATACCTCCATGCCATTAATCTCCCTCTCAGCCCATTGCGTGACTGTGCACTAGCTCTGCAGAGCCTAGTTCCCAGACACCTGCTTCATTCCGATTGGCGCCGTGCTGCACTGAGGCGCTTGACACACATCTCAGTCAAGGCAGCGCATTGTTACTCGTTCTCACTTGGCAGGGCGCAGACACGGCCCTGCACAGTTTCAGGAAGTGCACAGCCCCCCCTGGGGGGGGGGGGGTCTCTATAGGCCAGCACGTGCAGGTGTGCACAACACACACACTCCACGCTACGTTACGTCACAAAAAAGAGCAAAGCAAAGCAAAACGTGCTCCGAAGCTGGAAGGCCTGCGGAAATACTTCTGTCACGGTTTGATCAAATGTCAAAATTAAATCATTCATCCCACTAGCAACACAAGGACTCAATGGCTCCAGTCTGAGGGGGGAAAAAAACGAGGCCAAGAAGTCTGGTACACAAAAGTTAACAATTAACAAAAGCTCATCAAGCTTCTACTCTGCAAAGACCACACTGATTCAGTTAACAGTTTTAGTAGTGTTGCAAGCTAACTGGGAATAGAACACAGATTTAGCCTGTATAGTATTTGGCAACAGTTCATTAGGAATTTCCTATACATACTGCATTGCTTTCCATCTGTGCCTCTGCCGCCGTTCATAAAAAAAGTACTAACTTACCCAAACGGCTCACACTATGCCTAAATCCTGATCCTTAGCACAACACCACTTATTGCTACAAAAATTAAAACAGCAGAGTGGTCTTCATAAAATTGCAAACTATAAAATTTCGTCGCTTTTCATTATTTATAGCTTTATCATGGTGTCACAACAGCCTCCCTCAATACACCGATACTTGCTTTTGCGTGAGAGCTGACGTCAGCAACTGAGTGCAACAAAACAATTCATTTCATATCGTAACGCTTTAGTTGCTCAGAACACCAGGGATCCGTTTGTAAGGACTGAACAGAGAGCGAGGCGTCTGGTATGCAGTTCCCGGCGACCAAGACTCTGTTCCTTTACAAACCACACACTCACAGTTACATCTGATCCCTCCTCTACCGTCTACAGAGCCCGGCACAGGAAGCCGGAGAAGCCTGAACGACAATGCCGACAGAAGTGTGGCTCTCTCTCACAGACTTTTCTTCTGAGCCTTGGGGGGGGGGGGCGGTGGGGCAGAAATGCCAGAAAGAACAAAACAAAAACACACAAAACCAAATCGGGGAAATGAAAGAGCACAACACCACCAGAGCCCGGTGAGTCAACGTAGTCACAACAGTCAGCTAGGCGAGAACAACACTGTGCAGGACACTCGAGTCTTTTATTTCTGAACTGCTAACAACGAAGTAAACTGCTGTAAACTCGACACCAGAACTCAGCTGAGGTAACAGCCACTCTCGTTGGCTGACTGGGAAAGGTTTTCGTTTCCCCTCTTTGTTATTTTAAATTAATATTCTTCCGAACACACAGTTGTACCTGAAGTTGATTTTTTTCCTCTTCCCATCAGCAGTGCACTACAACTCAAGATAGCGTTTCTAAAATTTTTTTTTTTCTTTTTAAGCCCGGCTCCCGTTCCCACGCGGATTATCATTCGGCACGGTTCCGACTCGCTCCGCTGTCTGGTTTCCACTAGCACTCAGTGGTGTGGTTCTGGACTTGCACCAGCACAGAGCAAACAGGTTTATCGGTGTTTATCCACAGAAAACAGGTGCCTTCTAGCACAAGGCCTCTGTTACTGACCTGTGCAAGAGCACATAAGAACCTAAAGTGCAGTTAAGACAACCCATTGCTAAAAGAAAACAATTATATACATTATATATATATACACACACACGTAGATAGGCATGTGATGTATACAGCGATAGCCAAAAGGCCTATATACTGTTAATCTGTCACCTTTATTCCTTCCCTAATATCACACAAAGCACTTTCTAGACGGAGAACCAGCACAGCAGGAGTCAGACCGCACAAAGACATGCCTGGAGCACCAAAGCAAACCACACTGAAGGGAGCAACAGCTTCTTTAGGATCTGCAGAAAAATGGCAAAGAACATGTAGAATCTACAGCTTCTGTGACATTCATTAGCTGCCCGAGTTATTGCTGAGTTTTCCAAAGTTTGATCTGTAAATTATAAGTGTCAAGGAGGCTGTAAAACTATTTACAAATTAAATCAAAATATGTATAAAGTCCTGTGTTTTTTATCCCCACTCCAAATATATTAAATGTACAGCTCGGCTCGAGCATTAATTTTCTCTTTTTTTAATAAAATTAAACCCCAACAAAATTATAATAATGCCTTTTTTTTATCTGTTGCAATTGTACACCATTGTGTTATACAAGTTCATGTATTTCAGAAATCTAATAAAGGTTTACATGCAAATTGTCTTTCAAAACAATATTGTACCTTTGAACAAACACTGAAATTTCATTTCAGTTCTAGATAGGGATCTTTTCTTTTTTCATTTTTTCTTTTTTTTTTAAATGACACAACACTTTCTTCCGTTTTTGATATTTACAAAGAAAAAAAAACACAACGTAAGTGCAGGGTTATCTATATATAAATATATATATTTATATCGAGACTACACGGGGCTCAGTCTTCGTTGCTGGAGTCCGAGTCCTCCGACGACGAGGAGGAGCCTTCGGACTCGGACGACGAAGACCCGGCCTTCTCCGAGCCCTCCTCGGCACTGTTCTCCTTCTGCTCGCCGGGCTCCTGGCCCTTGGCCGGCGTGCTCCCGCCGGCCCCCCGCGGGGTCTCCCCTGAGGCGGTGGCGGCCGGGCGGGCACTCGTGCTCTGTTGCTGCGCGTCGAACACGCCGGACTGAGACAACGCGGAAATGGGAAGATTAAGGCCTGGAGTGAGAAGCATCCCTGGATACAGCATACTGGAGAGTAACAAGGGGTTAAGAGCTAACGGGTGGTTAGAGGAAGCAGCCGCAGCAGCCACAGCTGAAGCACTTAGGGGCGCGGTGGCGCCTGAGGTTGAAGGGTCACTCGGGCACTGGTCAGCGCCTTGACCTTCTGTCCTTTCGCCTTTCGTGTCTGTAGGCACGGGCGTCTTAGAAGCCGAGGAGGAAGAGTCGCCGCTGCCGCCGTTTCCCTTTTTCGTGCCGTCCTCCGAGACCCCAGCTCCTTCCTGGGGCTTGCCCAACAGGCCGCCCATACCCAGCAAGTTCGGCAGGCCGGCCATGCCCGAGAGCATCATGGGAAACATGGCGGCGAGGTTGTTGGCGTCCCCTGCGGCGGCCAGTCCCCCTGGCAGCCCCATGAGACCGGCAGTGAGATGCAGGGACTGCAGGCTCTGAAGGTTCTGCTGGAGGGCCTGCAGACTGGACAGGTCCATCCCCGAAAGCAGGCCGTTGGACAGCAGGGGGTTGATGGAAAGGGTCGCGGCGCTGGCGTTCGCTGCTGCCGCCGCCGCCTTGGCCATCTCACTCTTGGGCCGTCGCCCTCTCCGGCTCACTTCCTCACGCACGATCGGTCCCGTCAGGATCCGGTCAAACATGCTCTCTGGAAGGAAGCCCTGATCAGGGAGAAAAAAAACCCCAGAAGAAACGGGGCTTACGAACTGTATCACAGAAACAGACACACAAAGATTCTAATATCGACACCCAACGCCAATGAACCAAATGTAAAATTGCTGTTCACCTTTATAAAACCCACAGGAACGAGCCTGGGGAAAAAGAACAGAGGAGTGACTCACCGACCGCTTCACCACGTCGGCCCACTCCGGGGGCACGCCATACTCCGGGTTCTCCTTCAAGAACCGGCACAGGTCCTTCAGAGGAGGGGCAAAGGCACCGCCCACCTGTGGGGAAGACCACGAGCTCTCGTCAGGGCTTCCCAAAGAAGGGCTCTGTGCAGAACAGAGGCACAGCTCCACTCTCGCAGCTCACCCTTTTTAATGTGAGGGGGGAAAAAAAGGCTGCAAGGTTTTAAACACAAATGTAAATAAGCTTCCCTGTAAAGAGCCAACCGTTGGTGGTTTACACACAATTTCAACTCGCAGCCCTCTACTGAAAGGGCCTCATTTGCCAGTATGTATCTTATTTACTTTCCCTCTCTTTGTTGAAGCTCAACAGCTTTTCAGGGTGAAATTGAGCTCTTCTTGTTCCCTGGCTAGCTTGTCAACAGTGAAGAAGAGTTAATGGGCAGACAGGCTCCTCTGCAGATGGTGCTGTCTGGCGGAGTGAGGGCGCTCTGTACCTTTCTGGCGTTCCTCCTGTTGATGATCTGCACCCTCTCCTCGCCGGTCAGGCTGTTGATGTCGATTTTATTGGGGTTGCGACACCGATGCCTCTTCTGCCTCGGCCTGCCGTCCTGAAACGTCATCTTGTTCAGACCCTGGAGAGGCGGAGAGAAAGGACGTTTTCATTTAACCGCATACGGCACCAAAATATTAACGAACAATGCCAGCGGGGCATGCCGCCACAGCGCTGGGCCCGTTGCGGGGGAAGAGAAAGGACTGGGGGTGGCGATGGAGACTCACGGGGATGAACGCTCCCACGTCGGCCACGTATCCAGGGTGCTCCTTCAGCCACTGCTCCAGGTCCTTCTTCTTGGGGGCGTCGTCGCCAGCTAGCCGAGTCCCATCCTTCAGGTTAATGACAGGCACCCTGCTCTCCGTGTCCACCGGTGCCTGGCTAGGCCCGTACCCCAGCCCAGGGACCACAGCAGGACTGGCCTGAGCGCTGCCCCCGACTCCCGGACCGACCTACGGGCCGGACACACAATCATTTCAGACTGAAAGTCCTGCCCGAGGTGGAAGATAAGCTAGCGACCACGTAGAGGCACCGATATTTACGATTACAGCACAAGCAGCTGAATAACGTAGCGCGCAACTTCATTTTTTTCCCATAATCATAATTTAAACCAGGCTCTTCAAAATGCATTTTTTAAAACACATTTTAAAGGTAACTTCCGACTCGGAGAAACTGGTTCGTGAAACGTCCTGACTCCCTTTGGCCATGTTTGCACAATTTCCCATGATACTGGCCATGGTTACTTTCTGTAGACAACTCTGACGAACGACCTTGAAGAGCCTGGTTCTGGTACAGCAGAGCATGTTACTCCCCAGCTTCAACACCTGAACCGATAAAAAAAAAAAAAACCCCAAGCGCAGATGTTAAAGAGGGGGAGGAGAAGGCCAAGAGCGAGTGTGTGCGAGTGTGCAGGGGGAGGCTGGCATTCTTAACACGTTCCTTCATTCTGGCACATTTACGAGCAGCTGCCGAGACACAGCTTCCTGTCATTGTGGGCTGCCAGGCTTTCTCCCTGCAGCTGGCTGGCTGCCCCGAGCTCCTGGAACGGGAGTGCGGCACTGGTGATGGGTAGGAGTGGGTGGGGAGGGAGGGAGCACTTTGTTCTTACATGGTCAGGAGTGGATCTGTTCTTGTTCAGGAAGAGGAGGTCCATGCCTTCCACATTCTTCCGCCTGCCGCGTCTCTTCTTCACCACGGGCTGGCCGTCCAGGGCACCGTTGGCACGCACCGGGCCCGCGGCCCCTGGGGAAACGGAGCACGCCGTCAGCACCCGAGACCGCAATCCTCGCGTGCGGGTGACATTCTCTTACAAACCAGGTTCCCCCCCCAAAAAAAAACTCATGACCACCAAACCCCTCCCTCCCCATCTATCAGTTCCCGCTATCTCTACTTAGTACATTAACATCTGCAGAAGAAAAACCAGTTGGCCCAGATGCAAAAACAAGTTTCAGCATCTGCCGTCTTCATGGGTAGCTGGTTTTGTATTGTTGACAAGGCACTGGTAACCCATCAGCCTCGTGCCTCGTTAACCCCCCCTGACCCCAACCTGACGTACCGGCGGCAGTGGGCAAGGGTTTGGTGAAGTCGGCCAGGCTGGTGTCGGAGGCACTTTGCAGCTCCCGGAGCCGGGCCAGGTACTGCTGCTGCCCCAGCGGCCCGTCTTCGCCCTCCAGGGGCCTCTTCTGAGGGAGGCCCTGCTTCTGGAAAGTCAGCTTCAAGCTACCTTCCTGCTGCAGTAAGAGGAAAGGTCAGAGGTGGGGCCTTCAGACACCCCGCAGGGCAGCTCAGCGCTGTGAGCAGCAGGCAGGCTGAAGGAGTGGCTGTCAGAGCACTGGGGCTGTGCCTGCGCTGGGAGGCCATGTCTGTGCACGTGCAGTCAGGTGCACACCTTGCAGTGCTGTGTGTGTGTGTATGTGTGTGTGTGTGTGAGAGAGAACACCATGTGCAACTCTACATGTGCTTATGGAAGCGCAGGCACGCCAGTGATCTTGAAGTAACTGCTTCAAATCTGCCTGCTTTTTTTCCCTGCTCCCTCTTGAAATTTCTTTCATCAAAGAGAGGCATTTCCTGAAAACAACAAGTTTAACTGCATCAAAACAATGAAAACTGCAAAACAGACAGGGCGATAGGCTTTTGTTCTTTGTGCATTCGGTCCTTCCTACCAGGAGCCCCATCTTAACAGAACAAGCCCAGGCAATTTGCTCTCCTTTCATTCATGTACTAGTTCCGATGTTTGAAAAAAAAAACTATTTTACAAGGATTTTCTCTTAACTAGCGCTAGAATAAAAGACAAGCCCTGTCAGAGCTGTGTGGAGCCACCGGGGGTGGCGGGTGGGAGTAGTGAGAAAAGCAGAGCTCTCAAATTCCATCCCTACTGGGAGATGCAAGTCTAGAAAACAAAGGGGATACAGGATGCTGGTCATATTCACCCTGAAGCCAAAACTGACAGGGCTGAACTCAACTGCCTGAAGTCATTCCCTTCTCCGCAGTTTCACAGTATTTTAGAGTCAATTTCACTGAGGGGAAAGAAAGGCAAGAAACTTAAACCACGGTGATCATGAAAGCTCCTACTCCCGGCACAGTGGAGAGACAGCTCTTTAAACAGGACGTCTCGAGTCCTTCCCTTTAAGTCAGTGCACCAGCAGCGGAGAACCGCTGGGGAACTATGAGCACCTGTGTTGGCGTGAAGGGAATGAAGAGCCAGGCATGTGTGTGTATCTGTGGGAGGGCTGGAGCAATGCTGGTGAACCATACTGCCACACTTCGGACTTGCTCTGCAGATTTCATCACGTGATGGTCAATACTGATAAACCCCACTTGCAAAAAGTTAACCTGTGTTAACAGCCTCAATTGTAATCTTAAGACTAGGAGCCTTTTTAATCAACAGTGGGCAAGAATTCCATGAAGAGTCATTACTTATTAGCAGTGTTTTGGGAACCTAAATATTTGGTTCTTGTAGTAAATGTGTAAGTCTATCTATAAAAATACTTAGAGACACCTAATATGAAAATGACAAAGGAAGCTCCATCTGCTGGTGTCTGGGCTTTGTTTTGCAATCATAAGCAAAGCCATGCCTTTTGTCAGTCTACAGAAAGCAGGCACTCTCCACACAGCCTGGTGGTTTCAGAAACCAGTAAAGAGATCACACCAAAAAAAAAAAGACCAGGAAGCACCTTTAAACCAGCCAAGACTTGGGAGATAAGAGAAAGAAAATCCATAATATGCCAATTCAAAAATAATCATTCGCATAGCTTTCCCAGAAGCTGGTATAAGGATGTTACTGCTCATAGCATTACTGCCCTGGAAGCCCATGTAGATCCACAGTGTACCCAATACAGGCAGAAGAAGAGAAAAAAATGCCGTAGGCAGCCATTTGCAGGGAAATAAAAAACATGCTGTACACCGCAATTTGCATTCAGGTCCTAGAGGGAATAAAAAATAAACATACGTCATTGATTTTCACTGTAAACTCCTTTTCTCGTACATGCTTCTTCACCTTTGACATCTGAGGCGACTGTGCGGGGTCCTCTCGGGGGCCGGGCGGGCCCCCCTGGTCGCTGGGGCTGTCCAGGAGCTTGGTGGTGTAAAAGGAGGACACGGCACTGCCCTCGTAGCCCCTCCGCGCCGCGGGCCACGCCCCCTTCAGCACTGCCTGGCAGATGCTGTCCAGCCGGTTGATCATGACCCGGTCCTGCCAACGAGAAGGACAAGCTGAGACCCCGCCGCCAGGCCAGCGCGCAGGGGGAGGTGGGAGGTGCGGCCCCCGCCCACGAGGATGATCTTGGGAACAGTTACAAACAAGAGGGGGCCATTAGGGTAGGTGATTAGCTTGCCGATTCAAGGATCTCATCCAGCTGTCTGCAAAGCTGAAGCCAATGCGCCCCCGACTCTTTTCATAAAGTTTGTTTTAAAAGCAGTTCTGCAGAGGTACACCTTGTGCCCTCTGCTTTGTGCTACTCTGTTTCTGAGCGTTTATAATCAAGGATTTTAAAAACTTGTTGGGATTTTGAGAATAGTGGCTGCTGTGCATCGAGATTTTTACGCAAGCCTGATTTCTTTGAAGGTTTAGATTTTCAATGAGCAAATAAAACGGCTTATGCTGTGAACCTTCCTAAACATGAGCACTTGAAATGTTTTTTTTAAGTTTGAAAACTTGCATTGGCCGTTTTATATCCAATAGCACAGTGTTGACTCGCTAAAAGTTCTGATAACTTGGCAACTCAACTGAACGACCGTTTTATACCAAAAGGATATAAAATGATTTGAAGCAGCTTTTGTGACAAGATGTTAAACCATTTTAATACAGAATACCTACAACAGTAACTAAGTGGCAGGTATCACTTCAATAAGTTTCATATACTTCGGTAACACTGAAAAAGTGTTTATTGCTAACAGAATTCTGAGCTATCTTATACAAATGAACTCTAAATTACTGTTAAGTCAGTATTATCTTCTGCAAAACAAAAATATTTAAAGGTTGGACAAACTGCACTTCAGAGGTCACAACAGCCTGGAGAGGCTGCCGGAGCCGAGATCTTACCTTTGGCCAGTAGGAGGCAGCCAGCATGTACCCGCCCTGAAAGGCATGGGAGGAGCTGTGCAGGCCGTTATCAGTGAGGAAGCTGTCTTGTGTCTCGTCCTGGGTGGTGCTGAGAGACGCCACGCTATCTTCGTCAAAACCCTTGATCTTCGCTGCCTCCGCAACTGCAAGGAATCCCACATCATCAGCTACTGGATTCACGGCTTAGCACGCAAAGAATTCAGTAAGTAGGCAATTATTTTCTTTTAGGTAATCTATTCTACGAAAAATTGCATCATATCTAATGGAAGGTAGGATGGAGTTGTGGGTGAAGTTTTCTTCAATTACGCTACGACCTCAAATACATAAACATCACACAATACCTCGCATTTTATGGGAGGCCAGCATCCATCTCAACTTCACCCTGCAACTCACACCTGACAACCAACTGAAGCCCCGCAGCTGTGAGCCTCGTCAGTACCTGAGTACCTGGGAGACGACCTGAGAAAAACTAAGGCTGCTGCTAGAAGTGGTGTTAGTGGGGGCCAGCAGAGGGCGCTCAGCCTGCAGTCTGTGTGGTCCTAATGCTCCAGTATAGTGACGGGACACTATACCGTAAAAAGGCGCCATCCTTCGGAGAAGATGTAAAACTGAGGTCCTAACTCTGTGGTCATTACAAATCACAGGTGTTACCCTGACATTCTGGCCAAGTTCCCCACTGGCCTTTACCCGCTATGGCCTCCTAATAATGCCTTCGTCACTCTGCTCTCCTCCCCACTGAGCGCACTGGTGCACTATGGCTGCTGTCGCTACCATCCAGGTGGGGTGGGGGAAAGTGTTTTGAGGGGAGTGTCCAGAAAAGTGCTCTATAAGTGTAAGGAATTATTTTCTGATCTTACCGTAGCGGAAATCTCAGAGCACGTTAAGGGGATCAGAGGTATAAGAAGCGACTCCTCGCCGCCCTCACTCACCACTCGCCTTCCTGTCCTCCCTGTCGCTGTCACTGTCCTCGGAAGAGGAGGAGGAGGAGGACGAAGAGGAGGAGGAGGAGCCGGAGGAGCAGGAGGAAGAGGAAGACGAGGAGCTGGACCCAGAGCGGGAGCACGAGGAAGAGGAGGAGGAAGACGAGGAGGAGGACGACGAGGAGCGAGAGGAGGAGCAGGAGGACGAGCGCTCCGTGTCGGAGTCCGTGCAGGAAGCCCGCCGGCCCTGCCTCCGCCCCCGCTTGCTGCCTCGCTTCTGCTTCTTGGCGACCGAGTTGGGCGTCAGCGGCTCCGTCCTGGCAGCCACCATGCTGCGCCGCTCGCTCTCGCCCTTCACCTGCCCCCCGGCTTTGCTGTCCACCAAGCCCTGGGTCTGGGCCCCCGACCTGGGGCTCCACTGCTCCGCCTTGCCCTTCCGCTCCGCCCCCTCCTCCTCGGACGTGGGCGGCTCCTCCTTCAAGTGCTCCGCCCGCTGCCTGGGCTCCTCCACTTGGGCCGTCCTGGGGTCGGGCGGCCGGGGCTGGGCGGCGAGGGGGGACCCCGCCACCATGGCCTGGTACTGGGGGAGCAGGAGAGGGGTGGGGGTGCGGGACTGGGCCCCCTTGTTCTGGCTGTAGTTGCTCTGGGCCGTCATGAAGCAGAGCTCGGGGTCGCGCAGGATGTGGTAATCGGTGCGGCTCACCCCGTGCTTGGCGGCACCGATGAGCAAGTCCCGGTCGTGCGCGCCGGGCTCCCACCACACCGGCAGGTCCGGGCCCGGCTGGCACAGCTGGAGCCGCTCGTACAGCTGGGGGTGGCGCAGCACCTGCTCCCGGACCTTGCGCAGAAGCTCGATCCGGTAGAGCGTTCGCGACGCCCGCTCCTCTGTGATGGGCTGGATGGAGATGGAGGGGTCCACCGATTCTGGAAACGGAAAACCAAACCACCTCTCAGCTACGGGGAGCCCAATGGTTCTTCCCCCCCCCCCCCGGGTTCCTCCAAACGGGTCAGATCGGGCTCCTCTAGTGCCCAGGCGGCACACATCTCACTCACCCCCTTCCCTGGGCGGCAGCCGGCACACGCGGCGGCACATGGCCGTGAAGGCGCACAGGTACTTCTGCAGGCTGTCGTCGGTCTTCTTGTGCAGCCGCGCCATGGCCCGGAACTTGGTCCAGTCGAAGCGGCCCTGCTCCGGGTCGAAAACCACACCGAACGTCGACACCACGCGGTAGAAGTCGGCCTCCTCCCGCCGTGTCCACCTGGGGGGGGGCACCAAGCACAAAAGGCACAGCGCTGGTGAAAGACGCCAATGCGGGCTCTTACAGCTGAGGCCATCAGGGGGCGCTCGTGAGCGCATCGGGGAATCCGGATTTTACTTACAGTTGGAATTCAGCACTTAACAGAAAACATTTTGCTGGAATTGATGTACTCATCCTAATTTAAGGTTCTTGTAAGTCAACTGATTGACATAACTGAACTAATTTAACGTTAAAAAGTCTATTTAGCTATTGAAGAGTTTGGTGTGCTGTGAAAGCCTGCGGGAGTTGAGCCCCTTTGGAACCGCAGTGGATAACAGCCACTGGGTCTGCGAGCCACTCACCTCTGCTGCCGCTCGATCTTGGCGGCTATCTTGGGGTTGATGTTGTCGTTGAGGGTGGACAGCAGGGCACTGGGCTGAGCCGGCAGGGCCTGCTGGATGTGCTGGATCTGGCGGTTCTTGGTGTTGCGCTGGTAGGCGGTGATGAGCCGGCGCAGCCGTGTGGTCAGGGCTGAGGGTGGGGGCCAGTACAAGGCGTCTCCTTCCATTAACATCCCCCCTTCTGGCGGCAGGTCAAAACAAAAACCGAGAGGGATCGAGATTAAAGCCGATGGACCCTGCATGGCAACCACTTCTAGTCTGAAGCCCATCTGATGCCACACTTGTTCAACATTTTAAACTTAAGCAACTTAAAAAAAAAAGGCAAAAAAAACCCATCTGGATCTCAGTGCACTCTGATCACTGCACCTCATGCGCCTTACACTGCAGAGCAAAACAGCAAATAGCCTGACACCCACCTCCTCCACCATCTGCAATAACCAGGTCTCCAGGGGACGAGGCATCATCCTGGAAAGAACAAGGCAGCCTGTGAAGACCTACAGCCCCGCTGATTGACACTCAAGTCAGTTCAGCTTCACTGCAGCGCTGGAATTAGACTCCATTTCCTTCAGACCCATCAGAACTGTCCAGATTGCATAACATACTTTTCAAAGGATTACTCTAATTTCTGTATTATAAAGCAAGGTATAGCTGATTTATTCTATTTTAGACGCAGTGTGTGAAAGACCCATGAAACGCAAGCCAGTTAAGACTGGTCCTACTGCTACCTATGAGATAAAGCTTATCTCCTGCAAGCTTCATGTCGTGAGGCCTCACCTCGATATCGTCTTTCAGCAGGGCTGGAGCTGGCTTGTATTCTGGGTCATCGCCGTCCCTGTGCGACATACGGACAGATGTTCAGAGTATGTTAAATGGCACACAGTGTGCAAATCTACACACACACACAGGCAAAGTTTCCAAGTACAGGAAAACAAGTTATGCCACAATATTAACAGTAGAAAACCATGAAATGAAAGGAGTGTCAGTTTCCATGGCTACAAAGCACTCCAGAGATTAAAGGAATCAGGAGCCGGATGACTGGAAAAAAATAAGAGTGCTCTCAGTGTATTGTTTATCAATGTTCATAATGGGTATTAATCTTAACTTTTATACTGCATTTTTTGGCAGAGTTCTCCTCCCCACCTGACTGGCTGAACTTTCAGCTTCATCGGAGTCCACGCCTAACCTGAATGCCTGTCAGCCATCTAGTGAATTTGGTCCAGCATATCATTCTCCACGTGAGGCTGTGAGGTTTACTAGGGTCTGATGCCCTTCGCAGAGTGCCCTGCGTGGGTCTGACGAGACTGAAGCTCTTACCCATCCATGAAGTCGTTGGCCCGCTGCTCTGCGGCGATGGCCTTATCGTCCGGCCGCCCCACGCGCTCTAGGAAGATGAGGGCGGGGTCCGCTCGAATGGTGTTGTACTTCTCGTACCCTGTCCAAGCAACAACAGCAAGAGAGGGAAAAAGTGTTTATACTGATCTCCCGCAAACCCACACCTGCTGCCTTCAGACACCAATAAAAACCCTACGGGCGGCATCTGTGCACGATCAAGCCCAAATATCATTAAGGCAACATGACATGACCCTGGAGACATCTTAACTTAGCCTTGAAAAACTGACAACTTTCAGTACGGACAACAAAATCTGCAGCTATGGTCTGGAATACAATAGTGCGTTAACACCGACCAGCAGCGCGGTCAGGCCCTGACTCACCATGCTTATAAACGCCAATAAGGAGGCTCTTGTCCGCTTCTGTGTCCCACCAGTGAGCTGGAAGCTCCGAGTGGTCTGGCTCAGGAACCCAAATCTCTGTCTCGCTGCCGAACAGGAAGAGAACCATAACCACAAGAAACAACACCCTGGAACTTAGCAGTGCAATTCTAGACCCTAGGCCTACGCTGCTTAGCCTCTGGCTGGTAGACGTGGTTTCCAGACTGAAGGGACACACATGAGGGAGGCTCAGCATTTGCACTTCACAGAATTGCATTTGAAGTATATAGTAGTTTGATAAGTTTCTTTAACATCCTTTGGTAGACGAGCAAAGCTTCTGAGAGAGTAATATTTAAGTAAAAAAGTTTATCAAATCTCTGGCAGTTCAGGAAACTTTGTCAGTTTTTGACAGCTTTTTTCAATATTAATATTAAGTCACCACATTTATTCCTGGGCTCAATGCAAAGATGGGGGGCTTCCTGTTTTTAGGAAGCAGATGTATAGATGGTATATGAGACTCATGAGGAGTTACATGAGGCTTGTATTCAAGTTTCTGCTTGGCTAGGAGTTATTAAAAGGTGACACACAGGAGCCAGAATAAGAAGGTATATAAAACCATCTGTGTGTGATGAATAGTGCTTCTATATGAAAGTAAAATATTTTAGCTTTATAAACTGGCTTCAGCTCAGGTGCTTGGCAAGGCTCTTAGGTTGTTAAAGAGTTATCTAACCCTAAGCCAACCAAGAGAATCCTACTCGAAAAAGGCCAACTGAAGCATTCAGCGATATTCTGCACAGTCCACCAACCCTTAAATAATACAAACCAAAATGCTTTGATCTATAGAAAATTCTCTGTGGGCAGAAAACCCATAAAACATAAGAAAGCTAGCTTCCTGTCCCTACAGAACAGAGCTAAGATTCGTGTAAATCAAGCTCAGTTTTTGTGCATGTCCTTCTCTCACCTGGAGTCCACACCGTCGAGCACCTTCTGGGACTGGTCTCCTATCACTTCCTGTTTCAAGTAGTACAGCATTCGGACACGGAGCAGCACCCTGCAAAACAAGTGCCAGACCAGCTGAGCAAGGACTCCAGCCTATTGGAAGGGGACAGAAAGCTCACAGGAATGCTGACGAAGCAGGGCCGCGTGTCACAGAGCCAGTGACCCTGAAAGCAGCCTGCTAGTCTGGCTCCAGTTAAAGGCACAGTCAGGTCCGGATTTATGCCAGCTGAGATGCTATGATAAAGAAAAGGAAACACTATTTGTATCTTCAGTTTCACTTCCAGCCGACATGGTTTATACTGTGGAGCTTTGTTTGCTCTTTGTGCCTGCAGGCGGATTTGCGATCTGTGCTCCAACACACCTGTGAGAGCTGCAAAGAAGGAACATTTTCTTAAAGGGCCATATTTTTAAAAAACAAAAAGCATGAGCAAATGATCAATGAAGTTCCAGACACAGTCCTATAAGACTTCAGTCTTACCCGTGTCGAAAGCTCAGGTGAAATTCACCTGTTAAAGTTTCCGTCACCAGAACTCCACGGTCTGAGAAGTGCAGAAGAGTGTGGAACAGCTGTTCTCCACATGCGCTGACATCGCCACCGCGAGACACAAGGCGCTGCTGTTGCAGTTCAGACAGGTACTGGAAATCATGGGGTGGGAGCTCCAAGTGTTGTGAGCCCCATCCATCACGTGCCTTTCAAGCAATTCTCTCACATGTAGCTTTTGCTTCTCAGTGTTCCCCCAAGGCAGTGCGGCTACTTTCTCTGCTCTAGGATTTATTTTGACAATGGGGAACTTTCCTTTGATAAAATCCTCTGTGCACATTTCAGCAGTGCTGCCTTGAACAGCTGCTGAATGCCACTGTTGTCAGGGCAGCACTAAATCACACTAATGGAGAGAGAGCGCAGGACCATCATGCTAAACTGTCTCTGTCTAGAGACAGGCTGCCTGCTCAAGTCTCCCTGCTGGAGGGCTTTGTTGCAGGAGTGTCACAGGTTCTTCCTTAATTCTGTGTGCAGAAGTGTGGAGTGGTGGCGTGGGTTCAACTCCCAAGCGGAGAACTATTGTTGTACCCTTGAGCCAGTTATCCAGTAAAAATACCCAGCTGTAAGAAATGGGTGCAAATGGAAGTCACTTTGGATAAAAGAGTCAGCCAAATAATCATTAATTAATTAGGAGCAAGAACAAGGCTCCAATTTGACCCCCCCATCCCCCTTGCTCATTCAAGGGGATGAGATGATTAATAATTATGAAATTAAAATGAAAGGAAAACAGTCTGGTTGAGGAAAAATTGACGGGTTAATGAAAAAAATCCTGATCAGCCAGACTCTCCTTTGTCACAATGTTGGCTCAGCCCTCAGTGACTGTTAATAATGCCGTTCAGCAGTCCTGCCCAAAAAACAAAGGGGAACTTTCTATGGACACTATGGGCTCTGTGTCAAAAGATGCAGAGATACAAAACTCTTTTTAGAGGAAAATAACAAATGTGCACATTTCTTTACAAAGTACTGTGCCAAGATATTCCTGCAGTGCTATGGATGAATAAAACTGATTCACAGAACAATCCGAAGAGAACTAAAAATGTGATAAAAATCACACGTTTCTGTTACATTTCATTGCTCGAGGGCTCCAGCAGCTGCACAGCGATCCTGAAACGACCACGAAGACTGGCGGTGCTACTCAATCTTTGTAGTGAGGCTGAGCCCCGAGGCAGCCGTGCCCCCGGGCAGCGAAGGAGGCGGTTGTTAGGATGTGGTTGCCGGGAGCGGTTGCTAGGAGACGGCAGTGCTCACTTGTTGCAGTGGTGTTTGAGGTGCTTCTTGTAACCGTCGTCTTGGAGGAGGTGCTCCGGATTGTGCTTCCTGATCCATTCCGCCTTCTGGATGTCGAAGGAGCTTGGCTGCGTCTTCACCTTCTTCCCCTTCCGCCCTCGGGGCACTGGAGCAGACAGACCTGGACAGGAAGGGACACACCGTCAGTCTCCTTGTATTTTGGGCACAGAAGGAAATGACACACTGGATTGTACAGTAGGTGCTTTGATTTCAGCCTAAAATTGGAACCTTTATTATTAGACAGCTGTATAAGGATCAAAGAGAGGACTGAACAGACCACCTGTCTAAAATAGGACACAAGAGAGGGACATGCCCACAATCCCTTAGTAGCACTTCTGTACCTACTAATTCTAGTGTTACAACTCTTGAAACAGGCCTGTTTCAGAAAAGCCTTACAGGAACCAAAACTGCCTGGATTTCAAACTAATGGATCTCTGCCACCTTACAAGTGCCATCATCAAATCTTTTAATTAATTTTAATCAATTTCAACAAGGGACTACAAAGTGCAACTCACTGCACCGAGGCAAAACCCTATCAAGATAAGTAAAACAGTTTCCTCTGCCTTGTTTAGGAGTCATGAATCAGCAGAGGCAGTTCTGAACCCTGTCTGGCCCCCGTGCTGTTAAAGGCAGCACCCTGGATAAGCCTCTACTTAGAGGTGGGGCCTTTTGTAGGGAGTTCCCTACATGGAGGGCATGTCACACCCAAGAGAGCACCTTCAGTAAGATTGCCTGTCTGCGTCCACGGAGAGGGACTAGACCAGGACTCTTACTACACACAGCTTCAGGTGGTGTCCTTGTTCACCCCCCCCCCCACCTCAACAGCCACCATACCCAGGTGGTTCTGCAGCTCCTTGGTCTGGCCGTCTTCTGTGGGCGCGATCAGGTCCCACATGAAGCTCTTGATTTTGTCATCCCCGCGGTAGTGCACCAGGCAGTAGGCCAGCAGAGCCCGGCAGATTATCTCCACGTCGTGCTCGTTCAGCTGCCTCTTGAAACGCCCGTGCAAGAGGATGTCCTTCCACCGGCCCCACCTAGCACACGAGACAGGCCCGTTTACAGCTCGACACCATGGGAAAAGCACTGTGAAGCCCGGCAAAACCACAGCAGAATCTCAAAGAAAAGAGATACGGCACAGGCGAGAGAGAAGCACGGTCAAATCCTGAAAAACGGAGAAAAAAAAAACAGCAAGTGCCAACAAAACTTGAGCTTTGTAAGCAAACAAGGGCGACCCCCTGTGGCCCTCACGCTCAGATACTTTTCACAGACGTCAGGGGACTCGCGCACAAACCATCTCCCTCTGGCTACGATGACCCGCTGTGTCGCAAAGAGTCGCCTCTTTACGCTGCCGTTATCGCCACCTGTCATTCAACTTCTGCAATCATCTAAACGCAGAGAAGTGGATTTCCCACATTCATTCCCTGAAATGTCGGGCTGCCAGGACCAGGAAGATGGGGGAAAGGGGCAAGGCTCAGATGGCTCACCCGTAAACCAGAAGGTTCTTTTCCACGCGGAAACATTCGGTGCGGCCGTAGCCATTGAGCCTGTCGTACGGGCGGCGGAGTTTGGGCTTGTCGTCCCCCTCGCTCTCCGGCTCCGACAGCTCCGCCAGCTCATCCTTTGTGGCGCTGAAAGGGCGGGTCTGCTTCCTGACCCGCGGCGTGTCGATCACGAGGCTGTTCTGTTGGGGCACATCAGGAGAGACAGAGCCAAACGGAGGAGGGTGAATAAGGAGTTAAAGGAAACGCATCAGAAAGACAAGAAGAAAGGTGAAAGATGCTAACGGAAGGAAAAGAGGTGAGGAGAAATGGAGAAAAGATTGCAGAAGAAAGGAAAGACGACTGCAAAGTCTAGGAAAATGCAAGATAGCTGCGCTACAGCACTCACTCTGCCATTGATAGTGTCCAGGTCAATCTCTGCCTTTTTTGCCCACTTGTCCCAGAAATTTGGATCATCCAGAGAAATGTCTGTCCTGTTTCCGGATGCCACAAAACTGGCCTATAAGAGAAACCGTTCATTCAGAGCAGTCCACACAGAATGCTGCCTTATTTTTCCCCCTAAATAAGTGGCAGTGCTTCAGAAATTACTCGCTCAAGGAGAAATTCCACACATAATTAAGACATATAAGTACAAGAAGAATTAAAAATCATAAGTCCTGAGTGAAGTGTTCTGTACCTTGGCAAAGGTGGAGCCCCTGCCCTCAGACTCAATAGTGATGGTCTTGGTTCTGCGCTGGAGGATCTGGTCGATATCTTCCTCACAGAATTTGGAGCCCTCATCTTCCTCATCCATAATGGCCCCGTATGCCCCCCGACGAAGCAGGTCCTCGATCTCCTTCTTGGAAAGCTGCTGGATCTGTTGGGAGGCAACGGAAAACTCGGCCTCACTCAGTGACTGGACGGGCTTTATTAACGAAGAAGTCTTCATTAATGGAGTATGGAAGAGAACCTCGAGCTAAGGTGAAGAGTCCAAGGAAAGAATAAAAAAAAAATTCCAGGGAATGTTGCCCCGATCTTAAATCTTCTTTTAAGATGGAAATACGTCTGGCATGGCGGAAAAATCAGCCCCTCGCCCCCTTTACAGGGAAGAGTGGCATGGGGCCCGTTTAGACTTCAGAGGCTGCTCCCTGATCACGACGGAGCAGAATGAACACATTCCAGCAAGGGTCCGGAATGCAGGAGGTATGTAACAGGGCAGACAGAATCAGAGATAAAAGCCCTTCTAAAGAAGGTTAGGAGTCTAGATCTGAAAGTGCTCAGGGAATGCGACTCTGTTATCCTTAGGGATAGAATTCCAGAGCCCTGGGGCCTAGCATACTTGGGGTACAGACAGGAGGCCAGAATTAGATGAACAAAGGCTGCCAGGTGGGGAGTAGGGTGATAAATCAGAAAGGTACAGAGGTGCCAAGCCATACAGAGACTTAAGGTGACCATGAGGATTTTAAAAGTCGACACAAAACGTGATGGGAAGCCAGTGCAAAGACGCCAGGATAGGAGTAGCGTGACCACTTGCACACTTACACCGCCCACGCTGTTCTCGCGCCCGCTCATGCTCTGTAGGACAGCCTTGTCCAGGCCCAGCTTCAGGCTGGCGCGGTCGAACATTTCGCGCTCGTACGAGTTCCGGGTGATGAGCCGGTACACCTTCACAGCCTTGTTCTGCCCGATCCGGTGGCAGCGAGCCTGAGCCTGCAGACGCACACACGGAGAGAAGCTAAAAGCCTGAGGCCTGGATCAAAATGCACACAGATTTAAAAGACCAGAAAAGCACAGCAATGGTGCACCGACTATGAGACTTTTTCAAATCAATTAATACTGATATTATTTTAAAATCATTATTAATTTGAAAACAGAATGTTATCTGTTATTTTACGGCTGATAAACTAAAGAACATTAAAAACAAACCCCAAAACCTAACCCGCCCCAGCAGGAGGAAGAGGACGGACCTGCAGGTCGTTCTGCGGGTTCCAGTCGGAGTCGAAGATGATGCAGGTGTCGGCGGCGGTCAGGTTGATGCCCAGCCCCCCTGCCCGCGTGCACAGCAGGAAGACGAAGCGGTCCGAGTCGGGCTTGCTGAAGCGGTCGATGGCCGCCTGCCGGAGGTTCCCTCGCACCCGCCCGTCGATCCGCTCATAGAGGTACCTGCAGCAGAGCACGCTCACCTCAGTGCGGGCAAGAGACTCGCACAGGAACACCGATGAAAGCTCGGGCGGGTTTTTGTTTTTTTTCAAAACCGAGGCTTTTCTATCACCTGCATGTGCAGAGCACCTGTGACGTCAACCACACAGGCCCTTGACATATACTGGAGGACGCTGTGGGAACCTTCCCTTGGCAGCACACTCCTCTCTTCACCATCCTTGCCATAAGCCCCTGCAGCTCTCCTGACTTTCGGATACTGCCCTTAAAGACTCGGCTCGAAAGCTGCTACACTAATCCAGCTTCAGCACAGGCTCCCCCAGAGATTTACGCCCCCGGAACAGGCAGGGCTTCAAATGCAAGACCTCAAAATATTTTTGGAAGCGGTTTTTTCCTAGATCTGAAGCAATGGGCTTTTCACGACGGCTGGAATGAAAAAAAAAAATTCTTCCTGCTCAGGCTGATATACAGGCAGACAGAGCTGCTGTCTGTGCCTCTGCCAAACCCCCATGCCACCTCCAGCCCTGGGATAACCATCTTGTTTCTGTGCAGTTATCCGTCTCTCCCAGCACTGCTGTTTTTCCCTGACAGGCTTCCTAGCTGCTCAGCGCAAGGAACCCCCAAGGGGCTGCTGACCCCTGATTGAACCCTGTCTAGGCTCCAAGCCACCACTTGCTGCACTTGTTTACATTACTTCTATTTTATTCTCTTGCGCCAAAGAAAAGCAAGAGGAAAGAGCTGGAAAGGAGAGAAGGGAGGGTGAGCCAGAGACATTGAACAACCAGACCCTATAAAAATCACCACCAGTTTCCTGACACTGCCTGAAAGACCAGACTGGCTCAGCTTAACCAAGTGTTCCTGCTCTGGTAAAGAGACACAGTTTCAAACACGGCATTAGTGTGGTTTGGTGGAATTGCCCTTCGACCAGCACAAGATAAATTCGGCATCTTCTGCTCATTGCAGCACAGGCAGGTGGCTACACTGCTTACAGAAAACCAACAAGAAAAAGTGGTAACACAGAAAAAGATTTCTTGCAAGAAAAGGGAATGCCAGAAAAAAAACAAAGAACCATCAGCACACAGGTTGAGATACTGTTCTTTGCAAATCGCCTTTAAAGAAATTAGAACATCAGAAATGATCAGGACAGAGTCAATTGTGTGGAAGCATCTGAGCCTGTTTTAGGTTACTTCTGTCTCCTGGCAACAATGATAACAGAGGCATCCTACGTGTATCAAAACAAAGGCGGACAGTCGCTTGCAAATGGAGCAAAAAGAAACAAGCTGGGAAAACAGATGAGAGTGTTTTGGTAGGAGATCTGAATCCGAGATATTGCAGTATGGGATGGGTGTCGCAGGCAGGTTACCTCCTCTGGATGAGGTAGTCCTCCAGGATGTCCAGGCAGCGGACCATCTGGGAGAAGATGAGGACCTTGTGGCCACCCGCCTTCATCTTGGGCAGCAGCTTGTCGATGAGGACCAGCTTGCCGGCGGACTGCACCATGGCCTGCAGGTGGAAGTCCAGCGCCGCGGGGTTGTGCACCTCCCGAAACTCCTCCAGGATCTTCTCCTCCGCCCCTGGAGGACACAGCGAGATGAGGGGGGTCGGCTCCCCGCACACAGGAGCGCCTACACCGGCCTCTCTCTGGTGATCCTTGCTTTTCTCACATGAGGTTCCAGCCAACATTCGAGACTGGGCTACCTGTACCCCGTATTAACTGCAACGTCAATTATCAAGTCCGTCAAGAAGCAAAATTTTTCCTGAGCCACAAAATCAGGTCTCCAATATTCTTGTCATGAATTTACCTGCTGTGAAATCAGGCACTATGGCACAAGTGCAGAACTCTAGTCCTTGATGCCCAGAATCCAGCATGTTTTCTAGGTCTCTCTAAATGAATTGACAACTTTGAAAAGTGTTAAGCTGGTGTAACCGAGCTAACGATCAGCTCATGTCATTGACAGTAGTGGCGCAACAAATACCCAGACACTGCAGTTCTCCAGGACTGGAGTTGTGGAGCACAGCACTACGGGAATGATAAGTAACTACAGCAAGTCAACCGTGTAGTGCTCTCCCTTAATGAGACATGCATGGCAACAGCATACAGATGAAATGGGACATGCTAATAATGGACATGCAGCAGGAGCAGTGACAGAGCACAGGCAATGCTTGGTGAAGGCATGTACAGTGCCAGCGACTGCTCTGTACCTTTGATGAGGTAGGGGTGGTTGCAGCATTTGCGCAGCTCCATCATGGTGTTGACGAGGTTGGGCACATTGGCCTGGCCAGCGCCCTTCGACAAGAAGGAGAAGTTCTTCTCCAGAATGGCCCGGTAGTACTTCTTCTGGATGTTGGTGAGCTCCACCTCAATGATGGTTTCCTCCTTGGGCGCCAGCTTCTTCTCCACGTCCTCCTTCAAGCGCCGCAGCATCATGGGCTTCAGGATGGCCTGGAGCTTCTGGACCTGTGCAGAGGCGAGAGCAGACGGGTTTTTGCTTGAGCTGCTACAGGGCTGACCTGCCACTTACACCCAGTTCCGCCCACCACAACCCGCTGACATACATACCACATGGGGGATGTTTTTATAAAGCTGGCATGAAAGTGCAAAAGTTTAACAAGCAGCTTTTGTTACAATTTCAGTTATAAAAAAAAGAGTGCTGCATTCAAGCGTCATTGAGGGCTTCCTAAGCAAACTGACATTAAGATTATGAACACCTGTGTAAAGAAATATTAGACTGCAGATACTAGATCTTTGCATTCAGAGCACAGCTAAAACCTACAGGCTTTTCAAAAACGTAATTATCAGCAATATCTGTTTGTTTACTCTGCCTTGCCACATGTCAGAGTGACCCAGTTAGAATACCAGACTTTCCCCAATGTAATATCAACATCAAAAGAAATTCCACTTTTTATGCAGTGGAAATTCCCATGAAAATATTCCCTACAGTAAAACAGAACATCTCTCAGCTGACTCTTCCCCAGACGTCACTGTGCACATAACTGTGTATAAAACAAACTCCCAGCCCCGGCAGACATCTCCAACACAAGGTTAGAGTGCCCTGCACCTTCAGGTTTTAACAAGTTCTCAAATCAGATTTAGATTAAGTCAATAATTAATCTAAAAACAAAACATACAAACTTGTCTGAAATCCAAATCACAGTATAAAGACTGAAGACCTGTGCATAAAGGAACATGAAAGCTGTGATTTGTATTGATAGAGTACCTCACACTTAATGCACCATCATAAACAGAGGCTGGGGATAGCAGGGGCTTTGTAAGCATGGATCCATGGAGCTCTCACCTGCTCTTCCGTCTTCAGATCCCCGAACTCCTGCATGAAGGTGGACTCTGAAGGGAACCGCAAGGGCTCCAGGAAGTGCAGCAGGCTAAAGAGCTCCTCTACCGTGTTCTGAAGAGGAGTGCCTGTCAACAGTACCTTATGCTCCTGGAAGGATAGGGGGACAGGAAAAAATGTCACATGCTGTAGAGAGAATAGGGGGATTGCAGTGCCTTCTGCGATATCTCATATTACAGGCATCTTCTGCAATATTTCTACAAGCAAACGTCCGCACATTCAGGCCCTGCACACTGTCTACCCAGCAGGATAGATCAGTGTCAGTTTGCCAATTACCGCGCAAATGTTCCACTTAATACAGCACCGTAAAAGAAACACATCAGAGGCCAGTACCAGGCTCATGAGCTTGAAGCCCTCCAGCAGCTTGCAGTTCTTGTTCTTCAGCCGGTGCGCCTCGTCGATGATGACACAGCGCCACTCGATGGCGTTGAGCTCGGGACAGCCGCCAAGGATCATCTCGAAGGTGGTGACGATCGCGTGGAACTTGTAAGCCCCGCGGATCACTCGGCCCTTAGGGAGGACGGAGCACAACAGGTGTGTAACACGGCACTGTCGACCGCTGGTGCCCGAGAGACATTGAACACTTATCACCATGAAGAACCTTGACATTAAAACGAGTATGAGGTGAACTGCCTACTCCCATTAGCAGAATTCCCACCCTCTCCCGATGTCAAGCTTGGAATTTTTCAGCACAGCTGCAGCCCCTGGAATGCACTTGTATACTCCTTGACAGATTTGCACATACCTATACAGATACTACCAATTAATACAGATTACACATATGAAGATTCCTTATGTCTAGTCTAGACACTGATTGATGTGCTGTAATGCTCCTACTCTCTTGGAGGAACCAGGCGACAAGGGAGCTGTACCTGAGAGTCCCTGAAGTACATCTCGTACTGCTGGAGCATCTGGCGGCTGACCATGCTGCCATGATAGACAATGACATTCAGATCTGTCCAGGTGCGGAACTCCCTCTCCCAGTTGGCGATGGTGGACAGCGGCGCGATGATGAGGAATGGTCCGCGGATGCCCGTCAGGAAGATCTCCTCCAGGAATGTGATGGACTGGATGGTTTTGCCAAGACCCATTTCGTCAGCAAGGATGCAGTTCCGTCTTTCGAAGGAATGGAGGGCAAAAAAAAAAAGGAAATAACCTTAAATGTACGTCGGGAAGAGTTTGGCTGGCCATTCCACAAATGTCCCATCAAGATATTCATCTGAGCTTACTTAAAATCCCTTTTACAGTCTGCATTAGACAGCGAGATGGGTTCACAAACGGATTCATCTCAGAATTCCTGTCTGAATGTTTCCATGCCCTACTTCCCTGAATAACGATGAAATCCTAAAAGAGTCATGATGGAATATTTTAGAAAAGGCTTTGCATTCATTGCAGATTTTGTGCATAGAGCCATTTAAAGCAGGCTTCTATTGCTAGTTCTTGGCAGACGTCTAGTTCAGACAGTTACCTGTTTCACATTTCTCCGACGTGCCTCGGCAGTAGGAATGTGGCCACACACACACAAAGATTACATGGAATGTTTTTCCAAACAAATCACAGCCAGTGACTTGGAGAGACTTGCCTCTATCTCTGTATGGCTTTTTAATCGCAAAAAATCACTCTTTTTGTTCATTGTACTCACTTCCATAAATAATTGCAATGCAGATTAGCCAGACACGAGAACTGCTGATAGCATTCATCAGCTTAGAAAGGGACAAAGGTAAAAGGAATCAGGTATTCCAGACATCTGGCAAGGGACATTCTAAGTGTCATCTTTTAAGTAAAACATTTTATAACGGAGGTAAACTACCAGTACTTGCAGACGAAAGAGCAAAACATTTTTGTACACAAAAATAAAAAAACCACATCGAAGCTAATTAAGTCTAAGATGGGTGCTGAATCCTTAGATAACGCACATCCTAGACCAGATTTCACAATTTCAAAACTGTAAAAAAATGCAGAATGATTTAGGAGCTGAATTTATAATAATGCAAATGACTTTTTTCCTCATCCTGTCAGCTTGCAGAGGACAGTTGTGACAGACATGCAACCATTCAGTGACAGGAAAATGAACGCAATTATGGCAATTAAAAAAAATCTGCCATCCTGTCACTGAATGCGACTTGAAAGAAAAACTGCACGGCTTTCAGAACGCAAGAGGAATTTAGGGAACTCTCTTCTGAGCACCGACATATGCAACCTATCCTGATTGCATTGGCCTACATGTGAGCAACTGGAATTTCACCGAGAAATTCAAGGACCCTCTCCACTGCTGTGAGGAGATTGCAGCCTTGGTGAAGAGGCACTTGCCCTGCCCTCGCTCACCTGTTGTACCAGTTGAACAGGAGCCAGTTCACTCCCTCCAGCTGATAGTCCCTGAGCCGGTTCCCATTGCGGTATTCCCGGGACTGCTCTGTCTTCTTCCACATGCTGGCGGGGGGTCGCTCCTGTGCAAGGGACCAGGGGAGAGGCAGACACCGGGTCACAGGCTACAGACTGAACTCCCACTCTTCTCCAGCAGCTCGGCCTGAACCGGCTCCTGGCAGCAGGTCCAGAGGTCTCCCCAACGACAGCCATTTATTTTTAAGTGCAACTCTGACCATCCAAACATCCAGTCTACTCAAAGCCATCTTGACATTCCTAAAAAGATCACCACCACCAACAGAACCATCCATGCAGCCAACACCTTGTCTCCGATTTTGCTCTTAATTTAAATGCGTCTTTCAGACAAGCTGCTGCAAGAAGGCAGAGAGGCGCTTACCACTCTGCGCGGGTCTGGCCGGGCTGCCTGCAGCTGCTCAAACTCCTCGATCTTGCTCTGGTCCACATCCTCCTTCAGCTCCCAGGTGCTGTCCTCATAGGGCAGGGAGCACCACTTCACCAGGTAATACACCACAGGCTGCCGAAAACACACACGCAGCAATCGCAATGAACAGCGCAGCCAGAACTTGCAGGTTCAGCCACCAGGCAGCTGCACACCAACAGCTGGGACTGCTCCTGCTGCCATTGTGTCCTCTAATTCAAAGTCAGGCAACCAAAGATAATCCAGTGAACATCCCTACAGTAGAAGATCCACAGTATTTTTCCAGCACAGAAATCAACAGGGGTCTTGGTGTGGTGTTTTCTGCTCAATACCACCAAGCTGCTAGATGCAGAACAATTAGTCATGCATCTATCCACTAAAGACAACATTTAATCCCTCCTTCTTGTTTTAAATCAATTTGGGGTCAATCCTGCAGCCGGAAAGCGGGGCTTTTATATTATTTGGGGATACAGATGACAGAAAAAAAGGTAATGAGTTTCCTCTACACGACACTTACTTTTTTATTATCATGCAAACACTTCTGAAACTCTCCGCCCTGGGGTGGATAACAGGGAGAGTGTGTCAGTGTTACCTCTCCAGTGTCCTTGTCCTTGCAGTAGGAGACTTCCAGCACTCGGTCCACCTCCACGTAGTCGGGGTTAAAAGGCTCCTCTTCCATCTGCAATGGAAATGAAGCACGTTCCTCTCATGATTACCAGCAGCACAGGAGACGGGCTCATTTGCATATGAGCGAAACAAACGAAGAGAGAATCAGGAGGGTCTTACATCTGCAAAGAAGTGAGCCCTCTGTGCCTGTTTTATCTTGAATCGTTTGATCTTCTGCTGGATCCTCTTGTCCTTAACAAGCTGCTGCTCAGTGGCCCATTCGCAATGCAAATACGAGCTGATGGTCACAGAGAGAGAGAGAGAAATCAGACAACCAATCAAATTCCACAATTCCCAAACCTGCCAGGATCAGAACAGCTCTCGGTCCTACTTGGGGAAGAAACTCAATAGAGGTGCAGCACAGAAGGTGATCTCCTGTTACAGCCTGAGCAAAGGAGACTGAGGCTTCCTGAAATGAATGTTCGAAAATGTTTGGCTAATTCTTACTAGTTAGGCAACACTGTAATGTAATCAATGACAAATAAAACAAGTGTGTGTTTTCTTAATCATTTAATGGGTTTATAGCAGGAAGGACCAACTGATCTTTACCTGCTAAGGAATTGTCCTAGGGGCAGCACTGAAGCTGCTAAGCTGGAAACATTTTTTCCATCTTTACATGAGCAACAGTTCATGTACTGATTACAATTTAGAATGGGTCCGATACCCATTTTTCTGATGACATTGGGAACACTAACATTTCCTAAAAAGCACAAGTTTTTTATGCATCAATAACTTCAAAACAGGTACACCCAGTCTGAACAGAAGACAAGAAATCTTTCTGCATGAAGATGCGTAGCTCAACATATTTATTTAAAGCTAAGTGAGCAAGAAAGTCCAAACGTTATGTCAAAAGAGTCCTTACTAGTTTTTGTATTTGACGTAAAACTCTTCAACTTCAACCACGACCCCAGGAGACACCTGCAGGAGAAGGAGAAGGAGGTTAATTTAGTGAATCCACAGCACCACTGTGAAAACAACCTCCCATGAGCCAGCCATGTGTCACAACTAGCCACACGTGTTCTCCTGTCTTGCAGGCGGGGGAACAGAACCCAAGCTCTGGAAGAAGCAAAACAATCGATCAATTACCTCCTTCTTTCCTATGCGGGAAGACATGATTTTGTCTACCACTGCGGCATCTTCCTCACTGGGATTTTCCTGAAATGTTAAAGCAAAAAACAATGTTAAAAAAAAACACTTTAAACACAGCAGCGGCTTTAAGCAGTAAAAAAAAAAAACTTGCTGTCAAATAACTCTTGTAGATCCAAGCCTGGATCTGTCAAATTTCTCCTAGCACCACGACTGCCTTTATTCCAGCTGGAGGAAAACTGCTAACCCTTAACCTTTTTCACTGATGCTCAGCCAGGAGACCACTGATTCAGAGAGTACTCTGCCCTTTTCCAGAGAACCGTGTTTGTTTCAGTGCCGGAAACAGCTTGTGGAAAACGAACAGAAATAACCAATGTGCTCCTTGTACTTCTGCTCCGGTAGATTAAAGATCAGCTTTTGGCCTAACGTTCTGCAAAGCGAAGTGCCAAACAAGTGAGCAGATGAGTGCCAGACAGCACATGCCACCTCTATGAGGCCTGTTTGTTTTTGCTTATTTAGCGATGGCAGTATTCTCAAGATCTCTATGCACGGACGGCATGTGACGTTCCCGCGCAGAGTCTCGTGCTCGGCATTGCTGTGCGCTCACCACAAACAGCTGCACGGGCTGCTCCTTGCGCGAACCCGAGGCCGTCTTCTTGGCTTTGACGATCACCTTGACCTCCTCGTCTGAAACCTTGCACTCCCCCTCCTCTGCGTATTTTTTGCGTTTTACCTGACGGTTAGATCTTCTTTTCTGAGGGAGAAAAAAAGGTAATTAAAGGCCTTTATCGCTTTGTCCCTGTGGTCTTTAGGGCAAAGGGATGCCGGGAAAATCAAGACAACCTGGGGGACAGTAACTCTACAGAAGCAGCACGAAACCCTCCTGTATTTCTACTGTAAACTGTCCTTTACTGTCTACTGCATTGCAGGCTTGAACTCCAGCATGTAAAGATTTGATTACGCCATACCCATTTTCCATCCCTTCGGCTCCACACCATCCTCTCTGACCCCCTCCCGGTTCACACTAATGTACTTAGCTGCTCAGAACTGAATTTTGTTAAAATATGTATTCTGTGGAATTTTACATCCCTCAAACTATAACATGCCAACAAGTAAAGCTCATGTACTGCGAGTGCCATCTTCTCTGCTGAGGCCTTGATTAGGGCTGAAATGTTGAGAGATTTAAAGCATGTTTCAAAACGGATCCAAACCAGGAGGGTCCCCTCCCCCCCACCCCCCTCATCGTGGGTAGTGCTATCTTTAGGCTACACTTCATTCAAGCACAGAGTTAAGTGCTCCTGTTGGGCTGCTGGTTTTGGTCAAGAGCAGCCCACGGCAGTGGGATGACGTGGGAATGATGCAGATTCTCGTGTTGGGACCTTCCAGGTGCTTGCATGCCAATGCAGTGCGGTCAGTGAAGGACGCTGATCAGGGCTGATCCTGCACTAAGGGGCAGTGGTCCCTGCAACGCGTTTTACAAATGAAAAGGGCTCGAGGGGTAGGCAGGTCAGAGGAGTCTGCTCGCTCTTCCTCATTCTCCCGTGGTCGGTCACAGGGTCCCTAGCTCTGAGCCAAGATGTGAAAGACACACGACTGGACCCTCCGGATCAGGAGAGCTTTTAAATAATAAGTGGAGAACCCGAAGAGAAGAAAGCACACAAAACAAGACCCACTCGTGCCCCATCCTCTCCCACCGCTCACCGAGTCATCGTCCTTGGAGCAGCGCCGCGGAAGGGGCTCCGTGTCCGACAGCTCTTCGGAGGACTCGGTCTTCCTTTTCTTCTTCTTGCCAAACTTGATGACTATTTTGCTGAAATTAAAACAAAATCGATCAGTAAGCGTCCTGGAATGCAGCCTCACTGGGGAAAAGCAAACAAAAGGGGAAAAAAAAAGGAGGGGAAGACGACTCACAGGGGTCTGGATACCAGAACAATAACCGTTTCAACTCTGCAGACAGTATGAAAGCTAATAACACTTCAGAAAGGTCAGAGACACCATGAGGCCAACCGGCTGGAAGAACAACAGGGAAATGATCTGAAAGAGCTAACGTTTTCGGAGTGCTTATTACTGATGTTTAGAAGACTTATGAATTTAAAAAAGTACCATCAACAACATTCTCCAAGCAGAGCGCACAAGCTCCTTAGTTTTAAGGAGTGTTGTTTTAGTAGATGCCTTTTTAAATGGATGCCGATACCAGCTAACACAAAAACGTCAGAGACTGGCAGGATGATGCCAGCTGGAGATGAAGTCAAGTTTCTACCCCCGAAAAGCTCAGATCACGTCAACCACGAAGATGGCAACCTGCACAGTTCTACAGTCTGCTAACTGTACTGCCTGTTTGCTCCCTTAAACTGAGGAGTCAGACGCCAAGAACAGCCTTTAATGATGATCAATCCTAAGTGTCTGCTGGAGGTGAAAGAGGAAGGAAGGAGACAGAAAATAGCTCAGCGGCAGGCTGCTCTGGAAGTGCCCTTCCCACACTTACTGCCTGGGCACCGTTTCACAGCTCAGCGCATCCTGTGCCAAGGAACAGCGAGAGCCACACGCGCTCTCAGATTCCTCCGGCTGCAGAGAAGCGCCAGTATGGGCTGGAGAGCCCTGCTGGGACTCGCTCGCTAGGTTGTCAGTGGCAACTGCATTAAAGCACCCCAGCCCAAGAACAAAGACACACCCGGCCACACCCCTCACTACCGCGGCACAGCCCAGTCCGCCTGCAGGATCCATTACGGAGGGCAAACGAGGTTGGGTGGAAGCTGCATTCACAGCATTTAACTTGCATGTCATAAAGCAGAAAAACTGCCCCACAAAACAAGAACAGCTTGAAGGACAGAAGATCACTCTTCTGAACAACGTCAGCAGCCACAACAGGAGAAACCAGCAAGAGGTGCTCTCCGCTGCAGGAGTCGGCTTCGCAGGAACCGGAACGACCCGTCTTCGCCTGTAGCTCCACACAGGGACTTCATCACCAGTGAGGTCCGTCACACATGCACTACCCAGAGCTGGAGAGAAGCTTTAACCCTCGGCGCAGAAGACCCTCCAGAGCAGCACGACATGCAGGACAGGCTGGGCCCTACTGTCGTCTTCACTAAAGCTGCATCTGTCAGTGGTGTCTTTTACTTAAGTTTCAAAGTAGTTAACTGAATTCATTATCCAATGAACCGAACCAGTGAAGCCATTTTCCAAAGTTCAGTGCAGATTTAAAGAGGTATAAAACCTGTTGAACTGAAGCTTTTGACAACCACAACTGAACAATTTCCCTAAACTTGATATTGGATCACTATTATTCATATGGACCTACTGAAGTCTTTGTGGCGACTGCTGCGGTAGTACACTATTAGACTCTGTAATATTCCATGGGAAGAACTTTTTTAGTGGTATCCCTGCCCTACACTCCACACACTGCAAAATTCAAAGCACCTGAAACTTACAGAGACTAATGCATAGGAAAAACACCCTGAGATTCTGCCTCTTCCTGTGAGAGCTCTCAAGAGCTGTATTCTATAAAGCACACCCTGCTTCAGTCCTGTAACCTTTATGAGCAACACAAAGCAAAAGATTCAAGGTGGCATCTCTCGCGCGTACCCCTCAGGCAAGAATAATTCATGCCAAATTTGACACATGAACGAAACTCCCATCTGTGGCATAAAAGGGTTGAGCTTTATGAAACTGCTGACGCAACAGACTTCCACTCTGGACGCAGTGCCACACCAGGCAGCTGGAGAGTGCGAGTGTGTGTGCGTGCGCACGCAAATGCAGGTGTGTGTGTGGGGATGTGGGGATGGGGTGGCAAGCGGCCATGTGGAGCGCTGACATCACCATTCCCCTACCCCTGGAGCCTCTGTCTTTATTGGATCCAGAGAAAACCAGTCAGCTGTCTGGCCCCCTGCCAGGCCTGCACATCTCTCTCCCACCTCTTTCCAGATTTTCCCTCCATCTCCCCTTCCACAGAAGGGAAACAAGATCCAGCAGTATCGATCGTTCCATCGGCATAATCACATGCTGACCGCATGACAGCAGACATGGGATCCGAAAAGGCACAGACTAAGAAACGCGGCAAACTGGCATAAAAAAAATGTTTTGCTCGTCCCACAACTGGTCCAAACAATAATGGTAAAAAAAATCTTTATTTTTTTAGACTTCGTGTCCCCTCCATGAACCCAGTCGCTCTCCCTCCCCCAGCGAGCTGCCCTATAGTCAGGCCTCCCTGAAGGCTCCGCGCAGGGAGATCTGCAAGCACGTGATAAGCCCAAAGGAGTCGCAGGAATGCAAGAAAAACCTCAAATACTATAATCCTATAGGGCTAACACCCTGGCAATCGAGCGTCACGTCTCATGAGGACTCCAGGAGCCTCGCTCAAGCAGCTCCGGGGTCCTAGTGAGACAGGTGGACACATGGGCTCTGGGGTGCCAGCCTCCCTCCATCTCAACACCCTCTCTCTTCCAAGTGTTCTCCACCATTCACACGAAAGACACGGGAACGCTCTTAATAACCTTTAATTTCAGACTGCTCCCCCCCGAGCTAGATTAAACCTCAACAAGCCCCTATGAAATGAAATATAAATGTTCTCACGGGGAGCCTGCAACATGCTTCTACAGAGAATATTCACAGCATTGCCGTGAAAGTTACATATTTTAAGACGTTAATAGAAGACACAGCGTAATGAGTTATGCCAGTAACTAACAAAACAGTAAACATTTAGGTGGGCGAGCCAAGTTAGACCCTCACAGCAAAGGACAGGACCAGAATAAAACGCTTAACAGCCTGCAAGCACCCTGTCCTATTTTTCTGAATGGAGCTTCACGATTCTCCCGACACCTTCACAGACCGCACAGGATGTTCTTTCACACCTCCCCAGTGTCTTACTTTCGACAGACTTTAAGAGAGACAGATTAAGTGAAAGGCTTGACTTCATAACGTCCTACTACCAACACAGCTTGAAATGCCAAACGCCCCATTAACCCTGAAGTGCGAGCGGGCGCTCTATCGGTGTAGCAGGAGGCATGCCGAACCGCGGACACGCAGGATAGGAGACCGTGGTCAAGGTCGCCCGGGGAACCAGACCCAACCAGGGAGAGAGTCACCAAAACTAAAGAAAACTGGCGTAGAGATGGAAAGACGAAAGATGGAAAAATGAAGCTAGAGAACTGGACCTGAGAAGGAGTGAGGAAGCAAGAAGGCAAAAGCCTGTCGAAAGGAGATTAAGAAGACCTCATCCACTGGGGCACATGTACACAAACTGGAATGGTACTGGTCCCAAAAGAAAGACACTGGCTGAGTATCTGTCCAGGGTGAGAGACAGCAAGGAGAGACTGACCGTGATGAAGTACAGGCTCAGCGAGCACAACTCGGCAACAGAAACTGGGGAAAAAAGGGCAGAGTCCTTTCCTGACTGGCAGAAAGGACGGGCTCAGTGACCACAGCCTGGCCATAGAAACACTGTCCTGTCCTGGCTGTCCAGAGAGGACCGGCCGTGCTGCAGCTGCCAGCAGGGAGGCGCATGTTCCGCTGCACTGTTAGATGGACTCGTGGGTCAGAGAAATTTGCTTCTGTTCGATAAATCAAATCCCAGACTTCCCAAACCTGCCAGACTCGGCACAGCTACTGATCCTGCTTGAAGCGGGAAGGGCCATCAACAGCGCTGCAGCCCAGCATGCGATCTCCTGTCACAGCCTGAGGAAGAAGAGCCTCGGAAAAATGGGACTCTACAGGTTTTGCCGTTATGGCTTTGGCAAAACCGACCAATAGAGCTCCTTGAAATGTGATATTCCAGCGTGGAGCAGGCTGCAATAGTGCTGGGGGGAAGGAGGGGAAGAGGGAGGGTGAGCTAGGGTCCTTGACTGCTCAGGGCTGCGTGCACTGCACAGCCACAGAGCTGCAGGACACTGCGAGAGGGTGGGTGGCCAGGGGAGAGAGGGTACCCTCCTGGCTTTCCCTAAGCAGGGTAGGGGCTGCAGCAGCCACTCACAGTAGTGCTATTTTTAACCCATCTGTTTCACCTCCCTGTAATAGAAGCCTGACAAGCGTTAGGACATCTCCAGTCAGGTCACCATCAAAGAGCCTCAATCCTACTTTAGCCTAGGCCAGCAGTTAGAACACGGGTGGCTTCTGCTACCGTGTTAGCGTGGGAATTCAACAGAAACTACTCAGGTTTCAGAAACTGCAACGGAAAGCTCCCACGCTTACTGAAGGCGTGGCTGTAACACAAACTCGTTTCTTATGTGAAACTAACGATTACCTCTACCACTAAGGCAGCAGGCAGCCCTCAGCGCATGATTTTAGGCTTCCCCCTGTGCCCCCGAAATCCCAAACCATTAGATTTCAGGAAAACCAAGAATAAATTCCCCTCACATCTCATACTGCACAATGCTGAAAAAAAAATACCTCGCACTGAGGTAAGGAGAAAAAAAGTCAGCAGTGGGGAAGTATAAATAAACGAGGCGACTTGTGACGAATTCAGGAAGGGTGTGAGGCAGAGAAAAACAGTGCGAGATTCGCAATGTAGAGGGGAGGAAAGACTTCAGCTCTGTGCAGGAGGTTTGTTAAGCCCGGACTGCTTCAGTAACCTCTGACTCAGATGACACCCGTTTCAGCCAGGAACAGGACTCAAGATCAGAAAAGACTGGAACCTCCTCTTGCATGGTTGAATTCTAAGAGCTCATGATCCAATGTGGCTCTGCTCCATCCCGAGAGCGTAGCCCGTTTCCCGGCATCTTCTTTTTTGAGCATCTCGTACTGCTCCCCTGACCAAGGTACTTTACTCCCAATAGCTAAAGCTCTCTCCGCTGGGCCAGGACCAAGACGCAACGGTCCACAGTAGTGCCGCATCGGAGAGAAAAGCTTGAATTTCAAATTTGCTTAACTCTGCAGAAAAAGCACCATGAACAACTTCAGCTTGTTCAGGGGTTCGACCTCAGTCCTCAGTGGTTTGACTGCGAGTTATCAGTCTGATCAGGCCCTTCAGCTGGTACCGACAGCCCTGCCGAGCATATTCCTTCAGGGTTCCGGGCAATCTGAGCAAAAAAAATTATGCAACCAAAAATAACTCCGGTGTCATTTCCAATCTTTTCCCCATTGGAAAAAAAGCATAACTTCTGCTATCTCTTCCTCTTGCCTCACCCAGTCCAACAAGTCCGATGGCACAGCAGCACCAGAGCTGGGCGCTACAGGTTCTAGGGCCCTGGGAGAGCTAAGGGAAGAGGGAGGTCGCTAACGCCATCCTGGGAAACAGATTGATCGCTGCCATTGACAATCTACACAATTTCTTGGAGAAAATGGGCCAGGACGCCCATCCTCCAGTTTCTTGACTGATAAGCCAGCTTCTTGAAAGATCCCTGCGAGTCCACCCTCACAGTGGGGGACACATATCTGCCTCCACAGGCAGCTATCAGAAGGGACTGGAGCAGGGAAGATTAAGACGGGACCAGACAGAGGTACTCATAATCCTCAAAGGCCTTGACAAAGTTTACCCAGGGGACTTCTTTAGAACCCGCAGTGAAACACCGACCAGAAGGCACAAGGGGAAACCTGGAAGTGCATTTAAAACGGAGAAAAGGAAGCACTTCTATGTAACGAGAACAAGCCACTCAGCAGATGAAGCTGATGCAAAAAATGTCTGAATGAGATCGCTGGATCAATTAGCTACTAACCACCAAACAGGCTAGCTGGGCTCAACAGCCTCCTCTCAGTCATAAGAATATAAAGATTCTGAACGAGTTGCAAATGTTCGAGTCCCCTTCATTTCTGCTGACAGGGAATATGCTTACTAGCCTTCATGCATGCTTTACAGTCTAAAGATGTTCCACTGAGCATCATGCCTTCATCCGTAGAGGAAATCAAGGCTTCAAATCAAATCTTAAATTACAAACCCCGATTTATTTCCTCTACGAGGGTTTGAAAGCGGAAACACTGAGTCACAGCAGCTTGCAGGAGCCAGACCTGAGGAAAATCTCCACTGGCTGTTTTACCAGCAGCATTGACTAGGCGGGGGGAAAAAGCCCCACAGAGAACATCTACCGTAACAGGTTTTCTGTAAAGCTGCGACTCTCTCCTCACGGCAGAAAACCGGCGCTACATGCGACTGCAATGTCAAATGAGCAGGGCCATCTTTAAGAAATTCCTCATAAACAGGGGACCAAGAAAACACCCCCTCTTCAGAACCAGAATCGGGGTCTTTTCACTTCTGGCTCTGTAGCGGTGGGAGAGCTGCTCTTTCCTGGCAGTCTCCCTCCACAGGGCTTGGGCTCCAGCTGCACTCTGTGGACTTGAGCCGCCGCAGCAAAGCTCCGCCAACCCCTCCTCACGGATTTATTGAAGCAGCAACATGATTAACTCTTCAACTGCATCGCCGCGCAGCGAAAGTGCAAAGTGCTGCATACATATTCAGGGTGGCACACCACAGAGGCTGGAGCAATGAGAGTGAGTGAAGGTTAGAGCCTCTGCAGTAGAGACAGCAGGCAAGCATAAATATTTCATGAACCTGGCCTACACAGATATTTATAATCTAAAACCTCAGCGCTATTAACGCATGCTTCAATTCTCTCGCCATCTACACACAAATCCCATTCCCATACAGTGCCAAATATCAAAACCCTCCAAAACCCTCCCTGCTTTCCCCCACGCACACAATGGAAAAAAACAACACCACATTTAAGCAGTGGTGCAACAGTTAAGCAACAGCTGGAATACAGTGCAGATCTCCAGAGCTATGCTAACAATACAGAATGCCTAGAATGTACCAGTTAATGGCAACATTAAGACTCAGGAGTCTGTTTAGGGGAACGGCGTGCTGATGAAATTACAGAAATGGTTGAGATCCAGATAGATAGTTTAGGATGTTACAGATTCCCCACTCAAAATCGAATCTTTAAGGTCAGTTTTATGTTTGCTTTGTTTTTCATCTTACCGACATGTTTTTGAGGATTACTAACCAGCATGTTTGGAAAAGCCGTGTAAAACTTACAAGGCAGAAAGTTTACTAGACAGAAATTTACCGGGCTCACGCACTTGAGCGTGAACCTCAAAGAGACTGTTTTGGGAAGAGCAGGTCATACAGAAAATTCCTGGAAAAAATCCGCACAGTAAAACTCTTCTTTAGCCCATGTGTGTTGAATCTGTACAGCACATTCCCAGCTTCCGTCAGTCTTGGTCAAGGAAAATAACAGACTTGTTTTTTTCTTTCTAAAAAGCTCTGTATTTTTAGATGCCAACTACTATACAGCAATACTAACCCTCTTCTAATTAAAGATGTTTCAAGACAGACCTTGAAAATTACTCCAGGCAGTCGCCATCACCCACCATCATTATTAAGTTTTACTGCTTTCATCCGTAGTGACTTATATTTGTTCCCATTTATATAGCTGGGCAGACCGCTGGAGCAGTCTGGGTGAAGGATCTTGTTGATCTTGGGTCCACCAGCATTGCCCCCTGCCAGGAGCTGGACCCACAAGTCCGAGTCCGGACCCTTCCCCTACCGTGCTGCCTTGCTTCCGAACCTCGGAGAAGGCAAGAGTACGCCACTGCCTGTCCGTCCGTAGTGCGGCAGGCTGGGACACCAGCAAGGCTACACCCGAAGGCCTTGTTTGTATTTTTAGATGTTAACCGCGATAGAGCAATAACGATATCTTGCATGACTGGGCAAAAGTAACTGTCATC